TCCAAAAAATATATTTTTTATTGATTTCAGAGAGGAAGGGAGAGGGAGAGAGAGAGATAGAAACATCCATGATGAGAGAGAATCATGGATCGGCTGCCTCCTGCAGGCCCCCTCCTGGGGATGGAGCCCGAAACCCGGGCCTGTGCCCTTGACCGGGCAGGAATCGAACCCGGGACCCTTCAGTCCTGAGCCCAACCAGCTAGGGCTCCTCATTGATGTTTTCATCTCTCTCTCCCTCTCCCTTGCTCTCTGGGATCAATAGAAATATACTTTAAAAAAACCACAAAAAGAACGTTCCCTTCGCATTGTTTATTACAGTCGGTAAACGGTGGGCCCGTTAAATAATCAACTGCGATGGGGTCAGCGGACACGGTGACCCGGCCGCTGGGTGCGTGGAGATGTTTTGCCTCCCGGCGGCCTGGCTTCGGGGAGATAAGAACCTGCCTTCGCAGCTACTTCTTGGGAAGAGGAAGTGCCTTGAAGTTATAATTAGAAGCGATACTGTTACAGTATCCAGGCCCCGGCCCCGTGGATGTGGGTCGGGCTGGACGAGGGCCAGTGCGTGTGGTTAGGCCATTTGTCCCATAGCCCCCGGGGGGGGGGGGCGGCGAGAACAACAATACCCTTTTGTAAAAAAAAATTTCTTTTTTTCTGGAAAGAAACTGCTGATCACTTGAACTCTATCCTGACTTTGAGTATCAGGGATACACTGACGATTTTAGGATGAAACTTGGTATTTCGGTGTCCGGAAAAGTACTTAAAAACGCACAGGAATTCGTCGTTTAAGCTCCGTTTCCTACCGTCGTGCTCAACTCAGTCCAGCCCCTGTAGTTTCTAGCCATTTGGGGAGGGGAGACTCTGCTAATATTATTATTATATTCAGGGTCCCCCCCCCCAAAAAAAATGCAGATACAGACAGGAAGGGAGAGGGAGAGACAGAAGCATCAATGATGAGAGAGAATCATGGATCGGCTGCCTCCTGCACGCCCCGCACTGGGGATCGAGCCCGCAACCCGGGCATGTGCCCTGACCGGGAATTGAACCGTGACCTCCTGGCTCATCGGTCAAGGCTCACCACTGAGCCACACCGCCCGGGTGGGTGACAGTAGTTTCAAAGACCTGTAATGTGATGCTAACGGAAAAAAAAACCTGGGTCTTACCAGAAAGTCTCCCATAAATGGTAGTAAGACGAATAGAAGAACTGTGTTCTCTTAGGACCAACAAGCAGAGAGAAAGGCCTAATTCAGAGAGGCTGCGGGCGCTGAGAGAGCGCAGCCCGAGACACAGCGCGGGTGGCACGCACGCAGGGCGCCGTCCTGCCCCTCCAGACGAGGCCCAGTCGGCAGATGTGAGGTCAGCTTGTCACTCAGGTCACCCCGACCTGCACGGAGCTTGCTGTGCCCCCGGGGAAGCCGGCGAGCCCAGGTGTGTGTGACCGTGTGTGTGGCCGCGGGCGACAGGCCTCCCGCCACCACGGGGACATTTTTAGATTCAGTTCGAGAGGACGGCCGAGCAACAGCTGGGTCTCATTTTGCAAGTAACGCAGCGACACCGGGAACCCCCATCCGGGCTGCTTTCCTCTGGGGGGACCCCAAACGCTTCAGCTCGGACCCCGACTCTGCAGCCCCGTGGACACGCCCCCTCGCTGTTCGTCTCGGTTTCCTAATCCAGACAGGACAGGGGGTTGGACTTGGCGACAGGGCGGGTCCCTGTCTCAGGGACAAGCCTGGGATTCGCTGTGTTTTCAGGGCTGAGGCCAGAGTGTCTGGGAAAACCCAGGAAGCTCAGGGGTTGGGGGCTGGGGACAGGGCCCCCCACGGAGGCTCCCACAGGGGACCCCACGCCCAGCCCCCCAACACCCGCCCCCCCCCCCCCCCCCCCCCCCCCCGCCCTGTAG